GACTTATTTTTGTTCTTTTTTTATTTTCCAGAGGGGATGGACGGACATGCAAATCAGGCTGGAGAAAGGTAGCAGACAGAACCCTGGAGCCAGACATAAATTCTGGTATTTAATATTTCAAGGGAAACACTCAGCATCCATTATCGGTGTCCCCACCCAACCCACTCGCCTTCCCCAAAGACGTCAATATTACAAGGAAAGGGCCGCGCAAATCCGTTCCGTCTCTAATTTAGCCAACCGAGCAAAGGAATTATTAAGAGGGCAATTAAATAAACCCGCGTCCTTCCTCTCCACGTTCCCCCTCTTTTTCCCACCCACCTTTGTATTCAAAGATCTTGTCTGATCTTGGAAGCTAAGTAGGGCCAGCTTTGGTCGGGAGCTGGATGGGAGACCATCAACAATCCCAACCATTCCAATAGTTGGCATTGATAACACTATGTTACAAATTTTGGAAAATGTTCTGCTCCTGATTGTGGAAGTCAGGAGCAGAACTTTCTGGCTGTGAGAGGTGTTCAGCAGTGGAACTCTCTGCCTTGGAGTGTGGTGGGGGTTCCTTCTTCGAAGGCTTTTAAACAGAGGTTGGAGGCCTCTGCTTTTTTGTCCTGATCTGCAGTTTTATAGAGAAGAAATTACCTCACAGACAGACAGGAAGGGCTTTATTTTGCAAAGCATACAGTACGGTAGCAGCAAAGTTCCATCTGACAGTTGGTTTCCTTCTCACCTCATATCTATCACTTTGGCCCTCCACTTCACTGCCTCGTTTCCATGAAAACCCTCTCCCTTGCTTCAAGTGAGCTACAGGCCAAGGCATGGCCTACTTTCATGGTTCTCCACAACACCAGGAAAGGCAGTAGCAAGCAAAGTTCCATCTGACAGTTGGTTTCCCTCTCACCTCATATCTATCACTTTGGCCCTCCACTTCACAACCATTTCCATGGAAACCCTCTCTCTTGCTTCAAGTGAGCTACAGGCCAAGGATGGCTTACTTTCATGGTTCTCCACAACACCAGGAAAGGAGGTAGCAAGCAAAGTTCCGACAGTTGGTTTCCCTCTCACCTCATATTTATCACTTTGGCCCTCCACTTCACAGCCGTTTCCATGGAAACCCTCTCTCTTGCTTCAAGTGAGCTACAGGCCAAGGCATGGCCTACTTTCATGGTTCCCCACAGCACCAGGAAAGGAGGTAGCAAGCAAAGTTCCATCTGACAGTTGGTTTCCCTCTCACCTCATATCTATCACTTTGACCCTCCACTTCACAACCATTTCCATGGAAACCCTCTCCCTTGCTTCAAGTGAGGTACAGGCCAAGGCATGGCCTACTTTCATAGTTCCCCACAATACCAGGAAAGGAGGCAGCAAGCAAAGTTCCATCTGACAGTTGGTTTCCCTCTCACCTCATAATTATCACTGTGGCCCTCCACTTCACAGCCCCATTTCCATGGAAACCCTCTCCCTTGCTTCAAGTGAGCTACAGGCCAAGGTTTGGCCTACTTTCATGGTTCCTTACAACGCCAGGAAAGGAGGTAACAAACAAAGTTCCATCTGGCAGTTGGTTTCCCTCTCACCCCATATCTAGCACTTTGGCCCTCCACTTCACAGCCCCGTTTCCATGAAAACCCTCTCCCTTGCTTCAAGTGAGCTACAGGACAAGGCATGGCCTACTTTCATGGTTCCCCACAACACCAGGAAAGGAGGTTGCAAGCAAAGTTCCATCTGACAGTTGGTTTCCCGCTCACCTCATATCTATCACTTTGGCCCTCCACTTCACAGCCGCTTCCATGAAAACCCTGTTCTTTGCCTCAAGTGAGCTACAGGCCAAGGCATGGCCTACTTTCATGGTTCCCCACAACACCAGGAAAGGAGGTAGCAAGCAAAGTTCCAGCTGACAGTTGGTTTCCCTCTCACCTCATAGCTATCACTTTGGCCCTCCACTTCACAGCCCCATTTCCATGGAAATCCTCTCCCTTGCTTCAAGTGAGCTACAGACCAAGGCATGGCCTACTTTCATGGTTCCCCACAACACCAGGAAAGGAGGTAGCAAGCAAAGTTCCATCTGACAGTTGGTTGCCCTCTCACCTCATATCTACCACTTTGGCCCTCCACTTCACAGCCCCGTTTCCATGAAAACTCTCTCCTTTGCTTCAAGTGAGCTACAGGCCAAGGCATGGCCTATTTTATGGTTCCCCACAACACCAGGAAAGGAGGTAGCAAGCAAAGTTCCATCTGACAGTTGGTTTCCCTCTCACCTCATAGCTATCACTTTGGCCCTCCACAGCCCCATTTCCATGGAAACTCTCTTCCTTGCCTTAAGTGAGCTACAGGCCAAGGCATGGCCTACTTTTATACTTCCCAACGTAGCATAGTGCAACGTAGCGAGTGCAAAAAAAAACAACCCTCTCTAGGCATTTGTTGGTCTTTCAGCAGAATTTGATGGTAAATTGGAGGACCTAGAGATTTCAAAAGAGGTGTTCGCTCAAATAAGGAATATGAATTTGGTAAAAATTGGCATTTTTTCCATTTTGCGAGAAACGTTATGCTTCTGACTCCTGCAAAAGGGAAGGGCCTACTATATATATCAGTCTCATTGCCCTCGACTCCCCGAACTACAAATCCCAGGATGTAATTTGGGCAGTTCAAAGTGATATCAAACCACATGAGTCGCCCGTAAGGGCTGAGAATGGCGGTTAATAAATGAATCAAATAAATAACTGTGTAATCTCCTTGCTTCTCTTTCTAAAACTGCGTGTCCTGATCAATGCAATGCCTCTTGACCATCGCTCTGCAAAATACCTGTGCCCCGGAAAGGCATCCCAGCCTCGTCGAAATGGGGATTCGTCTTGGCTTTAGGGCTTCTCTTGCGGCGCTCCTGACTACGGGAGCAAAGGGAAATGCTTGGCATGGCTTGGAGGTCCAGTTGCTGCACTCTTTTACACCCATTGTCTAAACTTGGAGCGAGCCAAAGAGCCTATATATAGAGGGACAATGCTCATTGTCTGGGTCGGTGGGCAGAGAAGGTGCGTCGCTTCAAAATGGTAAGTAAGGGTCTCTCTCTCTCTCTCTCTCTCTCTCGTTCCCTTTCTTTCTCTGCCTTCCAGCTGCTTTCTTGGCCTTTCTAGAAGTTGTTGGTTGCCATCAAGTCAGTGTTGATTTTGGCTGTGTTTCCAGGGCCGAGTCTTACGGTATTTACTCAAATCTAACGCTCACCTTTTGTGGTCTAGATTGGTGTAATATAGTCATCTTAGCATGGAGCCAAAGCCAAAGGGGAAGCTGCTTTGATGATGAGGTCCTGCTTTGAGATCCTTCTATTTGAAGGACCTCAACTCTAACTTAATGCCTCAATGCTATGGGATCCTGGTCATGATAATGATGGGTAAGAATCGTCATTCTCTCTTCCTTCAGGGCCTAATGGGGGTTGGATTAGATGGCCCTTGGGAGCCCCTTCCAACTCTATGAGCCTAATAATAATAATAATAATAATAATAATAATAATAATAATATCCAATTCAACAGTCAGCAGAGTGTCCGCTGTGGACTCATCTTGTTGTGTTTCAAATAATAATAATAATAATAATAATAATAATAATAATAATAATAATAATATAGTAATTCTGTCTTCCTTTATGGCAGAAGGGGGGATGGACTGGGTGGCCCTTGGGAGCCTCTTCCAACTGTATGAGCCTAATAATAATAATAACAATAATAATATCCAATTCAACAGTCAGCAGAGTGTCTGCTGTAGACTCATCTTGTTGTGTTTCAAATAATAATAATAATAATAATAATATCACACAGTCCTAGACGCTTAGTAATTCTGTCTTCCTTTATGGCAGAAGGGGGGATGGACTGGGTGGCCCTTGGGAGCCCCTTCCAACTGTATGAGCCTAATAATAATAATAACAATAATAATATCCAATTCAACAGTCAGCAGAGTGTCCGCTGTGGACTCATCTTGTTGTGTTTCAAATAATAATAATAATAATAATAATAATAATAATAATAATAATATAGTAATTCTGTCTTCCTTTATGGCAGAAGGGGGGATGGACTGGGTGGCCCTTGGGAGCCCCTTCCAACTGTATGAGCCTAATAATAATAATAACAATAATAATATCCAATTCAACAGTCAGCAGAGTGTCTGCTGTGGACTCATCTTGTTGTGTTTCAAATAATAATAATAATAATAATAATAATAATAATAATAATAATAATAATAATAATATAGTAATTCTGTCTTCCTTTATGGCAGAAGGGGGGATGGACTGGGTGGCCCTTGGGAGCCTCTTCCAACTGTATGAGCCTAATAATAATAATAACAATAATAATATCCAATTCAACAGTCAGCAGAGTGTCTGCTGTAGACTCATCTTGTTGTGTTTCAAATAATAATAATAATAATAATAATATCACACAGTCCTAGACGCTTGAGAAGTGTTCGACTTGTGATTTTCTGATATGAAATCCAGCATATAGATCTCATTTGCTGTGACATACTGTGGTTTTGTGTCAGTAAAATAATAATAATAATAATAATAATAATAATAATAATAATAATAATAATATAGTAATTCTGTCTTCCTTTATGGCAGAAGGGGGGTTGGACTGGATGGCCCTTGGGAGCCCCTTCCAATGCTGAGTCTAATAATAAGGATGCTAATAATGATGATGATGATTATTAATATTATTATAAAGTAATTCTGTCTTCCTTTATGGCAGAAGGGGGGTTGGACTGGGTGGCCCTTGGGAGCCCATTCCAACACTATGAATCTAATAATAATAATAATAATAATAATAATAATAATAATAATAATACATCACTTGGGAAGTGTTCGACTTGTGATTTTCTGATACGAAATCCAGCAAAAAGAACTTGTTTGCTGTGACATATTGTGGTTTTGTGTCAGTAAAATAATAATAATAATAATAATGATAATGATATAGCAATTCTCTCTTCCTTTATGGCAGAAGGGGGGTTGGACTGGATGGCCCCTGGGAGCCCCTTCCAACCCTATGAATCTAATAATAATACTAATAATAATACTAATAATAATGATAATGATAATAATAAAATCACACAGTCCTAGACGCTTGGGAAGCATTCGACTTGTGATTTTGTGATACGAAATCCAGCATATAGATCTCGTTTGCTGTGGCATACTGTGGTTTTGTGTCAGTAAAATAATAATAATAATGATATAATAATTCTGTCTTTCTTTATAGCAGAAGAGGGGATGGACTGGATGGTCCTTGGGAGCCCCTTCCAACACTATGAGTCTAATAATAATGATAATAATAATACTGATCCAATACAACAGCCAGCAGAGTGACCTTGTTTGCTGTGGACTCATCTTGTGGTGTTTCAAATAATAATAGATAATGATGGATATATAATAATAATAATAATAATAATAATAATAAATCACACAGTCCTAGACACTTGGGAAGTGTTCGACTTGTGATTTTCTGATACGAAATCCAGCATATAGATCTCATTTGCTGTTACATACTATGGTTTTGTGTCAGTAAAATAATAATAATAATAATAATAATAATAATAATAATGGACAATTTCAACAGAAAGGAGGAAACCATGAAAATGAACAAAATCTGGCTACCAGTATTAAAAAAAACTCTAAAATTACAACAGCACAACAACAGAGAGGAAACAAGCAAGGACATCTAATCACCTCTCAACAAAAGTTTGCTCCAGGCACTGCCAGGCCATTATATGCTAATCAAGGTAGTCAGTTGACCAAAAAGGCCAAAAAGGATTGGACTAGATGGCCTTTGGGAGCCCCTTCCAATGCTGAGTCTAATAATAATGATGCTAATAAAATGATGACGACAATAATGATGATGATGATAATAATAATAATATAGTAATTTTGTCTTCCTTTATGGCAGAAGCAGGATGGACTGGGTGGCCCTTGGGAGCCCCTTCCAACTCTATGAGAATAATGATAATAATAATAATAATAATAATAATAATAATAATAATAATAATAATAACAATAATAATCCAATACAACAGCCAGCAGAGTGACCTTGTTTGCTGTGGACTCATCTTGTGGTGTTTCAAATAATAATAGATAATGATGGATAATAATAGTCATTCTATCTTCCCTTATGGCGAAAAAGGATTGGACTAGATGGCCTTTGGGAGCCCCTTCCAATGTTGAGTCTAATAATAATGATACTAATAATGATGATGATGATAAAGTAATTCTGTCTTCCTTTATGGCCAAAGGGGGGTTGGACTGGATGGTCTTTTGGAGCCCCTTCCAACACTTTTAGTATAATAATAATAATAATAATAATAATAACAACAACAACAACAATAATAATTAATCACACAGTCCTAGACGCTTGGGAAGTGTTCGACTTGTGATTTTCTGATACAAAATCCAGCATATAGATCTCGTTTGCTGTGACATACTGTGCTTTTGTGTCAGTAAAATAATAATAATAATAATAATAATAATAATAATAATAATGTAACAGAACCTTTGCTCCTTCTAAAACTATGGGAAAAGGAAGGGATTTTGCTCGGAACCAAACCACAACAGCGACAATATCCCTGATGAAAGCCACCCAAGGATGTGGATCCATAAGGAAACGATTGCTCTGTATTAATCAGGGAGAAATGCACATCTAATTATGCTCCATGAACTCCGCAGGGAGGCTTTCTTCCATTCCCTGGCCCGCCAGTCCCCCCACCACGTCGTCCTTTACGACTGTCTTAAAGGGCTTCTAAATATGATGGAGGAGGTTTTATGGCCTCGTAATGTTTCCCGCTCCCCCAACTCGGCCAGGCCACTCTCGAAGGATTAATGGAGACACAACATGGTTGTCACAGAGAGGAATGACAATAATTAATGCAAGGAGAAGGAAGGATTGAAGGAAGGAAGGAAGGTGACGTCGAGCATGCCCCCCCCAACAAGGGATGGTGACTTATAGTTCTGCAAAGGACAAAGGTACAAGACTGCACAATAGGGGTTAAGTCTTGGTCAATTTGCCAAGGCCTTAACAACAATGAGGACCCCATGAAACTTCGGAAATAGCTAGACCTTGGGGTCTCTGCCTCTCTTGGGAGCTGTAGTTCTCCAAGGACGGGGAGCAAAGCTAGTTTCCAGATACACCAGGTCCATTTGGGCCACTCAAGAACTCCTGCCAGGACCTTTGTGCAACACCCTTGCGTTTTAGCCATCCCCTATGGACACGCTTTCCCCCCACATGGACAAACCTTATGAAATCTTGCCTTTTATGAACTTTAGATGTATGAAATGTGTTTTCTGATTTCTTTGTGTGGCAGAAGCCTTTCCCCTTTTCCTCTGCTCTTTGTTTCCCCTATATACATGAAGAAACTCCACCAAAGGGACTACAAAGCCCCAAACATTCCAGGATTTTTTTTATTCACAACTTCCTTTTGCATGGACAATAGCCTGGGCAGATGGTGGCCCTCGGAGGAATTGCCCAGCCCTCAGCTTGCCCCTTTGGCAAAAATCTTAATCATATTTCCTCCTGAAGGACAAAAGGTCCTCGAAAAAACCTTTTGCCTTCGCTCTGATTATTCATTCCACTCAAAGCACAATAGATCAGGCTGGCTTGAGATTTCCCCTTTGTCTCGCCGGCCGCATGGCATGGCATTTCCTTTGTTTACTCCTTTCCCAGATTCCTTTGTGCTCCCTCATCCCGCCTCCATCTCTCCTGATTGGCTGTCGCCACCGGGTCCATTGATTCCTACGGGCCACTGGAGCCCATCACCCAACCATGGCAGGGAACAACAGGGAAGCCGGGGCGGGGAGTTTGAACTCTGCAACTTTGAAAACTCTATATAAATGGCTGTATCAAATGTATTTCTTTATGCTCTGCTGGCGAATGATTGCAGCTTTGCATCCGTTTCAGCTGAATCGCAATAAACTTCGATGGCCTTTCTTCAACTGGTGAGACTTTTCATTGGGAAATCAGGGAAAAATATGGGATGCTTATCTGTCTCGCCAGGGGAAAAAGTGTAAGTGAGGAGTGTAATTGGTCTTTGCCTCCTGGCAAAGACCCCTAAATTTTAGCTCTACACCAAAGGAAGGAAGGAAGGAAGGAAGGAAGGAAGGAAGGAAGGAAGGAAGGCTCAGCAAAAGGCAATAGCTGAAAACTTGGTGGACATCCTTGTTGTTTTGCTGGCAAATTCAACTTTCATTCATGATGACCCCTTGAACGAGAGATTTTTTAAGGTTTTGACCATGAGAAAAGGAAGTGAGGAAGGAAGGAAGGAACAGGAAGGGAAGGCCATGGCTTTTCTATTGTGCTTCAAAACCTCCAAAGAAGGAGCTTCCACCACACTCCACGGCAGACCTTGTTGGCCATCCAATCCAACCCCATTCTGCCAAGAAGCAGGAAAATCGCATTCAAAGCACCCCCGACAGATGGCCATCCAGCCTGTGCTTCAAAGCCTCCAAAGAAGGAGCCTCAACCACACTCCGAGGCAGAGAGTTCCACTGCTGAACATAGAATCCTAGAGTTGGAAGAGACCTGATGGGCCATCCAGTCCAACGCCATTCTGCCAAGAAGCAGGACAACCGCATTCAAAGCACCCCCTACAGATGGCCATCCAGCCTGTGCTTAAAAGCATCCAAAGAAAAGCCTCCATCACACTCCAAGCAGAGAGTTCCACTGCTGAACATAGAATCGTAGAGTTGGAAGAGACCTGATGGGCCATCCAGTCCAACGCCATTCTGCCAAGAAGCAGGAAAATTGCATTCAAAGCACAACCGACAGATGGCCATCCAGCCTGTGATTAAAAGCCTCCAAAGAAGAAGCCTCCACCACACTCCAGGGCAGAGAGTTCCACTGCTGAACATAGAATCATAGAATCCTAGAGTTGGAAGAGACCTCGTTGGCCATTCAATCCAACCCCATTCTGCCAAGAAGCAGGAAAATCGCCTTCAAGGACCCCCAACAGATGGCCATCCAGCCTGTGCTTAAAAGCCTCCAAAGAAGGAGACTCCACCACACTCCAGGGCAGAGAGTATCACTGCTGAACAGCTCTCACAGTCAGGAATTCTAGACTTGGAATAGACCTGGTGGGCCATCCAGTCCAACTCCCTGCCAAGAAGCAGAAAAAAATTGCATTCAAAACACCCCTGACAGATGGCTGAACATAGAATCATAGAATCCTAGAGTTGGAAGAGACCTCCTGAAAATCCTGCAAATCTCTTGGGAAGACAAGCGGGCAAATGTCAACGTGCTGGAAGAAGCAAAGACCACCAGCATGGAAGTGATGGTCCTCCGCCATCAACTCCGCTGGACCGGCCACGTTGTCCAGATGCCCGACCACCGTCTCCCAAAGCAGTTGCTCTACTCCAAACTCAAGAACAGAAAACGGAGTGTTGGTGGGCAAGAAAAGAAATTTAAAGATGGGCTCAAAGCCAACCGGGCTGAGTCCCTCAATGAGGTCGAGAATCTCGGTATAGAAATCTTTGAAATAAATGAAATAAATAAACCTTAAAAACTCTGGCATAGACACTGAGAACTGGGAAGCCTGGCCCTTGAGCGCTCCAGTTGGAGGTCAGCTGTGACCAGCAGTGCTGTAGAATTTAAAGAGGCACGAATGGAGGATGAAAGAGAGAAATGTGCCAAAAGGAAGGTGCATCAAGCCTAGATTTTAAGGATTTCTGGTTGTTTCTACGAGCCTTAAAGCACCACCCCTCTTTTCTCTCTTTGGAGGGTGAATATATTTCTTGCTCTCCCAAGAAAATAGCCTATTTTGCTCATGTGGGGAAAGCCTTCCCCCGCCCAGCGCTGACTTTCAGGAATCCGACTCTGCCGTGCCACAAAAGAATCTGAAAACAAACCTCCACAATCCCCCCTTTCCCATCCCCCCCCAACACAACTCCATTGGCATCTGTCGTGACATCATAAACCGAGATGCTTGGATGAGAGTGATCATCTAATTATAGCGAGGCTCAGAAAGGGAGAATGAAAAAAAATGTGATCAGAGGGATGGAATGCTGTCCATACAAGGAGAGGATCGAACGGTTGTGGCTTGAAGAAGAATCCCGGGGGAGAGACGAGACAAGGCTGTAGGCCTCCTCCAGTGGAGAGGAGACCAGAGAGCCCGGCTTCTTATCCATGCTCACGTTGTGGGCCTTCAAGTCCTTCTTTCCAACTTATGGCGGCCCCAGGGCAAACCTATCATAGAATCCTAGAGCTGGAAGAGATGTGGTGGGCCATCCAGCCCAACCCCATTCTGCTAAGAAGCAGGAAAATCACATTCAACGCCATTATATATTGACAAGGCAGACAACGGTACATAGATAGAGGTATATATAGGCTTTCCCCATCTTCGGCATCTTGGAGGCTGTGTTCGGATCTGGCCATGAGGTGTGCTGTTGTTCCACTTTCTCTGCCAAAGAGCTTCGTTCGTAAACTTTTTCCTTGATCGAATTGCCGGCATTTATCTGGCATTTCCTTATGGGTGCCTTAAATGTCTCTTCGCTTAAGCGGCACCTATTTATCCACACACATTGCTGTTTTCGAAACTGCAAGGTAGGTAGAAGCTAGGCTAAAGGCCAGGAGCTCAGCCTGATCCAGGCTTCGAACTGTCAACTTTTCAGTTGGCAAGATTTATTGCAGCTGGCGTTAAACCTGCTATTTATTTATTTATCGTGTCAGGAGCAACCAGACAGTTAAACCTGCCATGCTAAAGCCATTGGAGGCATGCATTCAACTAGTATAAGAGGTAAAGGGTTTCCCCTGACATTAAGTCCAGTTGTGTCCGACTCTGGGGGTTGCTGCTCATCTCCATTTCTAAGCTGAAGAGCCGGGGTTGTCTGTAGACACCTCCAGGGTCATGTGGCCAGCATGACTGCATGGAGTGCCAATGCCTTCCCGCTGGAGAGGTACTTATTGATCAACTCACATTTGCATGTTTCAAACTGCTAGGTTGGCAGAAGCTGGGGTTAACAGCAGGAGCTCACCGTATACCCAGCCCAAATGGCACATGCAAATACAAATTGGTGTATCATATCAACAAGCACGGAAACAGGGACACAGAGAGAGAACATTTTTTTTCTCCAGCAAGAAGGGAAGGGGGAAAGGAAGAACAAAGGCAATATGATGCTATCTTCTTAGGCTGAGAGGGTATGACCTTCCCAAGATCACCCAATTGGTTTGCAAGGGTGACTACTATACTGCACTCTTTCTCTCATTTCGGGGATAGATTTCAGCAACAGCTTTGCCTGATTTTTTTTTAAATTATTATTTTCAGAATGTACGCATAGTAACATAACTATTGGTATATAAAGCCTCCAAATAACAGAAGAAAATGTCTCAACCCTACACCAGTTGTGTTGTCTATATTTTTGTTGTGAAAAAGTTGCCTATATAGTTCAGTGGTCAATTCCTCTTTAAACGATTGGTTAAAAACTTGTCGTCAGCCCATCAGGGCCCGGGGCTTTTCCCCACCTTCAACTTTTCAATGGCTTTCCACATTTCCATTACTTGAAATAAGATTGTTTTTGTTTCCTTTGGATACACAGGCCCCCAAAATGGCACGGCACAAGAAGGAAGGCGGCAGCTCCAATGTCTTCTCCATGTTTGACCAGAGCCAGATTCAGGAGTTTAAAGAGGTGCTTTCTGTTTACATCTGCAGTGGATTCTTTGGCTGATAACTTTGGTTCAAGACGGATCTCTATGAATCCTAACTAACCAGAGCTGAGCCTGCTTGGCTTCCAACATCATAGGGGTCTTGATGCTGTTAATTATTATGTGCAGCTGGTAATGTAGGTCAGCTAGCATGTTTGGGCCTCACCCGGTGGAGTATAACTGTATGGATTTTAGAATACAGTTTGGAGAAGTATTACGCTACACTGAGGAAGAGAAGTAATATGCTGCAATGCTGCTATGCTCTAACAGCGATGCTCTTTGCGAAGGTGGAATAGCTATTTAGTCAAGGTTTATGTTTTGCTCTCTCATTTGAATGAGATTCTTAGGCTGTTAACTTTGGTTCAAGACTGATCTCTATGAATCCCAACTAACCCAACATCAGAGGGGCCTTGATGCCTTTAGGGTCTATCAAGGTCCCTGAAAATGTGTTGCCATCTTTGTTTTAAGCAAGAGATTAAGTTCAACACAAGTTCTGTTACAATAAGTTGTAGCAGGATCAAGTGTGTGTTAAAGAAAAACCCTATGATGTTAATTATTATGTGCAGCTGATAGTGTAGGTCAGCCAGCATGTTTGGGCCTCACCCGGTGGAGCATAACTGTATGGATTTTAGCTAAAACAGGCACAGCGCATCAAGCTCCGCTGTCCCTGTGGTTTCACGCAATGCTCTCCCGTTTTATTTCTCCAAAGGCATTCACCATTATGGACCAGAACCGAGACGGCTTCATAGACAAGGCTGACCTCAGAGACACATTCGGTGCACTGGGTAAATTGCATTCTAGATGGTCAACACTGGTTTCTAGAAGTATATTTGCCCCTCCATTTTCACACATGTTTTCTCCGACTGGAGAAAATTCCGCAGCACTGCTGGTCACAGCAGACCTCCAGTTAGAGCACTTCCTATATTTAGTATTTGTATGTATTTCTCTGCTTTGTGGGGAAGGGGGAGGGGAGGACGGGGATAGTGAATAAAAACTTAAAGGTGATGTAGTTGAGCCATGGTGGAGGCTCCTTCTATGTGTGGTGGAGCCTCCTTCTATGCCGGCTGGGTGGTCATCTGTTGAGGGTGCTTTGAACTGATTTTCCTGCTTCTTACCAGGGGGTTGGACTGGATGGCCCATGAGGTCTCTTCCAACTCTAGCATTCTATGATCATGGCAGTCAGAGTGGTGTCGAACTGCATTAATTCCACAGCATGGATGCACCCTAAATCTGCTGAGAAGAAACAAGGTTCTCACTCTAATCCCGGCCAATAGGGAAGAATGTTTAACAAGGTTTTGAACAGGCAATGGGTTATTTTGACATGATGAGAAACAAACGGTGCTGTTCTGTCACAGGTCGCCTGAATGTCAAGAACGAAGAGTTGGAAGAGATGATCAAGGAAGCCCCGGGTGCCATCAACTTCACCGTCTTCCTCACAATGTTTGGGGAGAAGCTCAAAGGTAAGGAACAACCAGAAAAAGAGAACATATCTCCTAGATCAGTGCTTCTCAACCTGTAGGTTAGCCTTCAACTCCCAGAAGTCCTAACAGCTGGGATTTTGGGAAGTTGTAGGACAAAACACCTGGGGAGCCACAGGTTGAGAACCACTGTCCTTTTGATGGTCCTCTAAGGGATGATGGTCCTCCAAGTAGTGGATACATAGGTGGCTGTGGAGCCCTATTCTTGACCCGCATGTTCTTCCACAGTGAGGACATTGGTTTCCAGGTGGAAGGTGGTCCTGGTCTGGGTTGGCTTGATGCGCTTTCCTCTTGGCACATTTCTTCCTCTCACCCTCCATTCGTGCCTCTTTAAATTTGATTAATGAGACTTGCTATCAAGAGGCTTCTTCAGGAGGGGCTTATCTCAAGATGGATGGAAGCTCTTCTCGCTATCAGTAGCCAGTACAGACACTCTGGCACTATGGTCCACTAATAAGGAACTCTTTAGATAAAGGTGCTTAATGGAAGATTGAAGGTGTTGAAGTTAAAATATGCTATTGAAATCAATATAAAAGTGGAATTTTGTGACGCACATTGTGATGCTTGTATGATGCATGCATATTATTTTAAAGGGTATAAAAACCAAGTCGATTCTTTTGTTCAGCACCCTATTTTTTGGAATACCAGCATATCTGGCTGGCGCCAACTGAGAATAAACCGTGCTTTTACAGACCCCAGGAACTCTCTTTTGTCTCTTTCCCTCAAACTTTCTCCCTGCCATTTCACAGTGAGGACATCGGTTCACAAGTCGAAGGTGGTCCTGGTCTGGATTGGCTTGATGCACCTTAATCTTGGCACATTTCTCCCTCTCACTCTCCATTCATGCCTCTTTGAATTCCACAGCACTGCTGGTCACAGCTAACCTCCAGTTAGAGCACTCAAGGGCCATGGCTTCCCAGTTCTCGGTGTCTACGCCACATTTTTTAAGGTTGGCTTTCAGCCCATCTGAAAGCACTTCTATCTACTGGCTCTTTAATTTTTGCAGCTGTCCCAGGAGTCAAGCCTTTCTCAAGCTCAAAGCCTTGGGAATTCTCTGGTAGCAATTCAGGCCCAGGGAACAGACCATCATCCCCAAACCCTTCCGGAACATTCCTGTCAGAAAAGTCACTTTGAACAGGCATCCCATTGTCATTCTAGAGCAACCACATGAACCTCATTGTCACTCCGAACATCCAGAGTACCCTGATCATTAGACACAATCGCAGGCTGAACTTCAACAACAGGGTTCTTGGGCCGAAAGGGCTTGTCAAATATAATAATAATAATAATAATAATAATAATAATAATAATAATAATTTTATATTCCGCCCTTCTCACCCCGAGGGGGACTCAGGGCGGATCACAGTACACATACACGGCAAACATTCAATGCCACATTGTATAGACAGTACACAGACAGACAGAACAGAAGGAGGTGCCATGGAAGGTTGGGCTCTAGTCCAGGGGGTGCTGTTGCTCTTTCCTCTATGATGAACTTCCTCCTTCCTTTTGGTCGCCCAGCATTTTCTGATCTTCCTTCTTTATGGTGCTGTAGAACACCACCCTCACTATTTAGCGGTACCTAATTTCTCTAAAGCTGTTTTCGAATTGCTTAGGTAAACAATGAGCTAGGCTGACAGTTGGCAGCTCACGCCAGCCGTCAGGACTTCCTCCTTCCTTTTGGTCGCCCAGCATTTTCTGATCTTCTTTCTTTATGGCGTTGTAAAACACCCCCCTCACTATTTAGTGGTACCTAATTTCTCTAATCACAGCTAAAGCTGTTTTCAGATTGCTTAGGTAAACAATGAGCTAGGCTGACGCCAACTCGGGGCTTCAAACTTGCAACCTTTTGGTTGATAGATCTTATAATTGCTGATGATTTACCAACTGTGCTAAACCTCGTCGCCAAACTCCATAGTATTGTGCTAGGTCAATTCAAGTGGCGTCAGACTGCATTGATTCTCCACTGTGGATGGCTTCACTCTCAATGGCATCACCAGGGGTTATCTGAAGATCTGGAGATCCTAGGATGATTCTGAGCGAGTAACCCGAAACTCCGGCGCTTTCGTTCTGACTGGTTTGCATCCTAAAAACAAGATTTTGGAAAGTGATCTGCGCTGGAGGGATTCTTTCCCTATCCCTTCCCTCTCTGTAATTGGGTCCAAGAAAGAGGCGAAGGCGGAGGTGGTCGCAATGTGTCTCTTTTCCTCCAGGACCTCCAGCTTTGAAGTGGCGACCGGTCCCTTTTGATCCCTTTGAAGACGGGCGGCATCTCTGTGTGGGATACAAATTGCATTTCTTCCCTCCCTTTGTTGAAGCCGGGCGGCCCATGTGGTTGGCATTAATGCAGAATGCCTTTCGCATTCTGTTTTCTGGAGTGCGGCTTCTTTTCCTCGTGTCTGCGTTGTTCTTTTTTCCTTCTGTCCAACTCCTCATCTGGTTTTGGGATCCAACTTGCTCTTCGGTGCGGCCAGCTTACTCCTTGGATCCCAAATCGATTCTCACTTCACGTTGCCTTTCAATTGATTCCTTAATGGAGCAGTGACTGAGGAAAATTCTCTGTTATCAAAAAAAGACCCTAAAGTTGCCTTTGTATTTTGCTTCGCCACTCTTCATTGCCTCTGTCACACCTCAGAGTAGAATCACCTTGCTTAAGACATCAAACAGCACACAGGCAATAGTCTTTATTGTTCTGTTGTGCGCTGGGCCTGTACAGAATTTCCTTTAGAACAGGACGTGCAACCTTTGCCCAGCGGGAAGCCAGGGGGCCCAAGGAGAAGTTCTCAGAGGTTTTCCACCACAAATAGTCTTTAGATGGCTTGTGAAGTACAACGAAGTCTTTTATTAATGAACGATCAAACAGAAACTTCTCTTGTCTTCAGTAAATTTATTTATTTATTTATTTATTTCCTGTATTTCTACCCCGCCCTTCTCAACCCCCGAGGGGGGACTCAGGGCGGCTTACAAAAAGGCACAATTCGATGCCTACACAGTAATACAGATACAATATAGACAGCAATTAAAACAGTTTGAAATATTCAAAGTTCAAAATATATCACAGTCAATAAAAACCGATCTTATGTTCAACGTTCGCAACTCAGAGTCCATAACTTCATTCCACATTTTCCATTCCTATTAGTCGTCGCTGTCCTTTATTTATCTGCCAGATTGCCCAAACGCCTGGTCCCAAATCCATGTTTTTAATTTCCTTCTAAAGGAAAGGAGGGATGGCGATGATCTAATTTCCCCGGGGAGTGAATTCCATAGCTGAGGGGCCACCACCGAGAAGGCCCTGCTCCTCATCCCCGCCAGTCTCACTTGTGATAGAGGCGGGGCCGAGAGCAGGTCGAACTGCTTCTTAAACGCCGAGTGGACCTACCAGTAAAGGCTTAATTATTCTCCAGCTGGAGTTCTTTAATCTTTAGGGCTGTTTTCCTGGAAATTCTTGGATGCTCTTAAAACTGTTTTCCCCCAGAAATCTTGAGGGTTGAAGCTTTTGTACAGGGGAAGCTTGAACATGTCCTGTACATTAGCTTTCCTTGCTGAGACTAACTAAAAAATGGCTCCCTTCCCTTCCCAATTGCCCCGAGCAAGGGGCGGGACAAAAACTTAACAATGATGGGCAGGTGACTTGCCTTATGACTGCAACCAAAGGAAGCCACCCTTCTGCAGAGTCCCTGAAATCTTGGACTGCTAGCAAACATTTAATACAAAGCAAATAAAATTGGAGCTCCTGGTACAGCCATACCAGGACATTTATGGTTTATTAAAATAAAAGATAAAAAGTTCAAAAAAGCTAAAAATATAGTTCCAAAGTTCAATACAATGTAACACCTGAAAACAGGATCCACGGAGACACCAGCAAGGCAAAGTCCCATGAGAACATGACGAAGTCCAGAAAACCATGAAAACTACAAAACAAATCCCAAGACCCTTGGCTAAAGCAAAAGGTTGCTCTGACACTGGGGTATTTTCAAACAGCCTGTTTAATACCCTTTGGAAAACATGAAAGCATTCCTCTGGCCCTTGGCTAATTTACAACGCCATAAAAATCTCCAGCAAGCATGCAAAGAATGAGGAAGTACTTCATCGGTGTCACAAATGGACGGTGAAGCGACAACTCCCCTGGTGGCCAGAATACCCTCATGAAAAAGCTGGAATGTTAAATAGCCTCTGTGTGTCGGTCTATATATGTTGTGTGTCTATGGCATTGAATGTTTGCCATGTATATGTACATTGAGTCCCCTGCGGGGTGAGAAGGGCAGAATATAAATACTGTAAATAAAGAAAGAAATAATAGACTCATGCATACAGTGTTCCCTCGATACTTCGAAGTTTGGTTTTTGCGGACTAGATGTTTTGCGGGTTTTTAAAAAAGTGAATTTAAAATACAAGTAGCGAGGGAACACTGGAGGAGGAAGAAGGAGAGGATGGGTGGATGGATCTTTGTGTAGGTTCAGCCTCCTCGCCCTCTTTACCTTCCTCCTTCTCCTCATTGCTTCCCTTCCCAACAGGCAAAGAGGCGTCATCTGCATAGCTCAGGCCTAATAAATGTAACTGTATCCAAAAGTCCCAGGCTCAGCCATCTTGCCGGGCATAGTCCAAACCAAGCTAGTCCCTTCAAGGATGACATCCATCCACCTTGCCCTTGATTGGCCCCTCTTTCTTTTTCCTTCCCATTTCCAGTTGTGAAGTAGCAACCAAAATAATATTATGGTTGGAGGTCACCACAACATGAGGAACTGGATTAAGGGGTTGCGGCATTAGGGGAAGGTGGACAAAGACTGTATTTTTTTAGTATCAAGGAGAAGCTGTGTCCCAGCCCAATGCATATAAGATCATACATTCATAGAGAACACATTCCAATACCACCTGGGGATACCCGAGGCCATGGATAATAGTAAATTATATATTTTGATTATACTCGGCCTAGAAGCGTACCATAGAATTGCACTGATTGACTAAAAGAAGCACACAAATACTCCCGGGGGAGAGTATTTTGGAGCATGGCTCAGCTCACCCTAGAAAAGATATCAGCAAAACCGCGGATATCGTAAACCATGGCTATATTGCATTCAGAAATGCCAACACATCTGATATCAGCGAAACCGCGGATATCGTAAACCGTAGCTATATTGCATTCAGAAATGCCAACATATCTGATATCAGCGAAACCGCGGATATTGTAAACCGTGGCTATATTGCATTCAGAAATGGCAACACATCTGATATCAGCGAAACCGCGGATATCGTAAACCGTGGCTATATTGCATTCAGAAATGCCAACATATCTGATATCAGCGAAACCGCGGATATCGTAAACCGTGGCTATATTGCATTCAGAAATGCCAACACATCTGATATCAGCGAAACCGCGGATATCGCAAACCGTGGCTATATTGCATTCAGAAATGCCAACACGTCTGATATCAGCGAAACCGCGGATATCGTAAATGTGCCAACACATCTGCTTGTTCCTTTTTTTCAGGCACAGATCCCGAAGAGATAATTTTGAATGCTTTCCGGGTGTTCGACCGAGAAGGAAAAGGTTACGTCAAAGCAGACTAGTAAGTTGTTGTGTTTTGTTTGAAACCATTTCCCTAATCTGTAAGTGGTTACCATTTTGTCACCAATAGATTATGGATTGCGGAAACCAAGGCCAGAATCCTGTTTGGGCATCGCGCCATTGCGAGTGGGTGTTTACATCTGCGGAAATTGGAATTGCGATGTAGCACAACTAGCAAAGGGAGTGATGCATATTGGGCACATTGGTGGCACAATGCACAATGGAACTGATGCTCATTGGTGGCCTGTGCACATTCTATCCATCCCAATAGACACTCCATTGGTTCTGATGCACGTTGGCCACCAATGCGCCTTCTCAATTGCATAACTGGGTCTCAGTGTCTCAGCTACCTAGTCATGTACATGCAAAGTTTACCTTTCCAGTGGTTTCAGACCTATGGCAAAACTATGACAGGGCTTTCCTAGCAAGATTTGTTCAGAAAAGGCTTGGTTTTGCTCTCATTCGTGGCCAATGGAATTTGGTTTCTCATGGGGCAGACTACATTTTGGTTGTACACAATACACATTCAAGGTTTTCTCTATTACTTCCAGTCATGTACTGGGGGCATATAATATATTATAATTTATTATAATATATTATAATTCTACTTTATATTATAATTGTACATTATTATATTAATTATTATCATAGTATAATAATAATAATTATATTATTATAATATTATATTAGTATTATATAATATTATATAGAACTCCAATATGCTGATGATAACAGAGTCTGTGCACATTCAGAAGAAGACCTACAAGCCACTCTAAACACCTTTGCAGAAGCACACAAGAAGCTGCAGCATTCTTCAGACTGAAGCAGAGAGTGTTTGATGACCGGGACATCCGTAGGGAAACCAAGATGCTTGGTTATCAACCATTATCTTCCCAACCCTGCTATATGCCTGCAAAACGTGGCTCTGTTGTATTGGGAATGGAGAGAGATTTGGGGAGCACTCCTTTAATTGAAAGGGGAATGCTGGAGGAAAAGGAGTCGGATAAGAGCGTTGGATAAAACGGAATGTCGGATAAGCGAAGGTCGGATAAGCGAGACTAATGTATTGGGAATGGAGGGAGGGTTGGGGAGCGCTCCTTTAATTGTAGAGGAAATGCTGGAGGAAAAGAGAGTGTTGGATAAGAGCATCGGATAAGATGGAATGTCGGATAAGTGAAGGTTGGATAAGTGAGACTCTACTGTATTGGGAATGGAGAGAGAGTTGGGAAGTGCTCCTTTAATGGAAGGGGAAATGCTGAAGGAAAAGGAAGGCGTTGGATAAGAGCGTTGGATAAGACCGAATGTCAGATAAGCAAGATTCTATTGTATTGGGAATGGAGAGAGATTTGGGGAGCGCTCCTTTAATTGAAGGGGAAATGCTGGAGGAAAAGGGGGGTGTCAGATAACATTGTAATATGAGATGGAATATCGGATAAGTGAAGGTTTGATAAGCGAGACTATATTGTATTGGGAATGGAGAGAAAGTTGGGGAGGGCTCCTTTAATTGAAGGGGAAATGATGGAGGAAAAGGGCATTGTCGTATAAGAGCATTGGGTAAGACGGAATGTCGGATAGGCAAATGCCGGATAAGCGAGACTCTACTGTATTGGGAATGGAGAGAGATTTGGGAAGCGCTCCTTCAATTGAAGGGAAAATGCTGGAGGAAAAGGAGGGTGTCGGATAAGAGCACTGGAATGTCGGATAAGCAAAGGCTGGATAAGTGAGACTCTACTGTATTGGGAATGTTTTGGGGAGTGCTCCTTCAATTGAAGGGGAAATGATGGAGGAAAAGGAAGGCGTAGGATAAGAGCATCAGATAAGATGGAATGTCAGATAGGCAAATGTCAGATAAGCGAGACTCTTGTATTGGGAATGGAGGGAGAGTTGGGGAGCGCTACTTAAATTGTAGAGGAAATGCTGGAGGAAAAGGAGGGTGTCAGATAAGAGTATCAGAATGTCGGATAAGTGAAGGCTGGATAAGCAAGACTCTATTGTATTGGGAATGGAGAGATTTGGGGAGCGCTCCTTTAATTGAAGGGGAAATGCTGGAGGAAAAGGGGGTTGTCAGATAACATTGTAATATAAGATGGAATGTCGGATAAGCGAAGGTTTGATAAGCGAGACTATATTGTATTGGGAATGGAGAGAAAGTTGGGGAGGGCTCCTTTAATTGAAGGGGAAATGATGGAGGAAAAGGAAGGCATTGAATAAGAGCGTCAGATAAGACAGAATGTCGGATAAGCAAATGTCAGATAAGCGAGACACTATTGTATTGGGAATTGAGAGAGATTTGGGGAGCGCTCCTTTAATTGAAGGGGAAATGTTGGAGGAAAAGGAGAGTGTTGGATAAGAGCGTTGGATAAAACAGAATGTCGGATAAGCGAAGGTCGGATAAGCGAGACTAATGTATTGGGAATGGAGGGAGAGTTGGGGAGGGCTCCTTTAATTGAAGGGGAAATGCTGGAGGAAAAGATGGGCATCAGATAAGACGGAATGTGGGATAAGCAAAGGTCGGATAAGTGAGACTCTACTGCATCATAAAAACATGGAGCACAGTTTGCTGTAGTTTTCCACTGAATATATCTCATCCTTGAGTCTCAACCCATTCAACCTAGTTTGTGGCAGCCACAAAAACAACGTTTCAGCAGTAGAGTGACAACTTGCAAAGTCAGGACCGCACAATTAAACAGGAAATCACACTTCCAACCCAGGAACAGAACATTTTTTCAACCTTGGTTCCATAGTGCAATGTTTTTGCTTCCTGGGTAATGTTGATCGTGTTGAAACCGACCATTAAATCAATTCCCTGACCATAGTTTGAAGTTCATTTTCCCTTTATGCTCTTCCAACATTTAGACATTTGCCTATATTTCATAAATAGGGGGGTTTCGCCCATCCCTTTGAAAATCTTGTCCCTTTCAAGACGATGGTTGGTATTAATTAATACGACTTCTTTGGATTGGGAAGGCACGACGGGCGAGGGAGCGAAGAGGGGGAAAACGCTTCCAATCCCCCAAATCCGTTAACTGGCCATGCCTGACCTTTTAATAAGAAACTTCGTCTCATTAACATCCCTTTGGGGGCATTTCATTTTTTCCACTGTGTGTGTTTTCACTTCGTGCATGGAAAGTTGTGACTCATGTGGGTGTCTTGGAGCTGATCTTGAGCAGGGCGGCAAAGGTTTTCTGTATTTCGTCCCCGCACGCAACCCCACACATCTGTGATCAGGAGATACCGACAACGGAGCCCGTCATGTCGCGCAGTGTGTTTTGTTTGCAACCGTTTGGTATTCATATCCGTGATTACGTTATGATCGTGGTGCACATTTCCTTGGCTCCGGGCGCAATGTGCAATGTGCCTTTGCATGCGCCCAAGGGCACCGCATGCACAGCCCTGCTGTCGCCACCTTGAATTGATTCAAACTGTAAATTTCCAGCTTGCATGTAAACACACGTATGGAATTATTATAATTTCTCTCTCACTCTGTCTGGATTTATGAGCAAATATTCCAAATTTCTATTTTTCTGAAATTGCTCATAGAATCCTAGAATCCTAGAGTTGGAAGAGACCTGGTGGGCCTCCAAAGAAGGAGTCTCCACCACACTCCGGGGCAGAGAGTTCCACTGCTGAACATAGAATCATAGAATCCTAGAGTTGGAAGAGACCTGGTGGGCCTCCAAAGAAGGAGTCTSCACCACGCTCCASGACAGAGAGTTCCACTGCTGAACATAGAAACCTAGAATCCTAGAGTTGGAARAGACCTGGTGGGCCTCCAAAGAAGGAGCCTCCACCACATTCCGGGGCAGAGAGTTCCACTGCTGAACATAGAATCCTAGAATCCTAGAGTTGGAGGAGACCTGGTGGGCCTCCAAAGAAAGAGCCTCCGCCACACTCCGGAGCAGAGAGTTCCACTGCTGAACATAGAATCATAGAATCCTAGAGTTGGAAGAGGCCTGTTGGGCCTCCAAAGAAGGAGCCTCCACCACATTCCGGGGCAGAGAGTTCCACTGCTGAACATAGAATCCTAGAATCCTAGAGTTGGAAGAGACCTGGTGGGGCTCCAAAGAAGGAGCCTCCACCACACTCCGGGGCAGAGAGTTCCACTGCTGAACATAGAATCATAGAATCATAGAGTTGGAAGAGACCTGGTGGGCCATCCAGTCCAACCCCATTGTGCCAAGAAGTAGGACAATCGTGTTCAAAGCACCCCCAACAGATGGCCATCCAGCCTTACTTCAAAGCTTCCAAAGAAGGAGCCTCTACCACACTTCGGACAGAGTTCCACTATTGAACAGCTCTCTTTCACCAGAATCATAGAATCCTAGAGTTGGAAGAGACCTGGTGGGCCATCCAGTCCAACCCCATTCTGTCAAGAAGTAGGGCAATTGTGTTCGAAGCACGCCCGACAGATGGCCTTCCAGCCTCTGTTTAAAAGCCTCCATAGAAGGAGCTTCCACCACACTCCGAGCAGAGAGTTCCACTGCTGAACATAGAATCATAGAATCCTAGAGTTGGAAGAGACCCAGTGGGCCATCCAGTCCAACCCCATTCTGTCAAGAAGTAGGACAATCACGTTCAAAGCACCCCTGACAGATGGCCATATAGCCTCTGCTTCAAAGCCTCCAAAAGAGGAGCCTCCACCACACTTCAGCATAGAGAGTTCCACTGCTAAACGGCTCTCTTTCACCAGAATCATAGAATCCTAGAGTTGGAAGAGACCTGGTGGACCATCCAATCCAGGCTCATTCTGTCAAGAATAGGACAATCACATTCAAAGCACCCCCGACAGATGGACTTCCAGCCTCTGTTTAAAAGCCTCCAAAAAAAGAGCCTCCACCACACTTTGGTGTAGAGTTCCATTAATGAACAGCTCTCTTTCACCAGAATCATAGAGTTGGAAGAAACCTGGTGGGCCATCCAGTCCAACCCCATTCAGCCAAGAAGCAGGACAATTGCATTCCAAGCACCCTCAACAGATGGCCAGCCTCTCTTTCAAAGCCTCCAAAGAAGGAGCCTCCACTTCAGGGTAGAGAGTTCCACTGCTGAACAGCTCTCCCAATCAGGAAGTTCTTCCTGATGTTCAGGTGGAATCTCCTTTCCTGTAGTTTGAAGCCATTGCTCTGCGTCCTAGTCTCCAGGGCAGCAGAAAACAAGCTTGCTCCCTCCTCCCTGTCACTTCCCCTCACATATTTATACATGGCTATCCTGTCTCCTTTCAGCCTTCTCTTCTGCAGGGTAAACTTGGCCAGTTCTTTAAGCCGCTCCTCATAGGGCTTGTTCTCCAGACCCTTGATCCTTTTAGTCGCAAGAACCTTAGATTGTGCTGATCGTTTGGAATTCAGAGTCCGAAGGAGTGTGAGAATAGCTAACAAGAAGGAGGTCAGAGGCCAAAGAAACGCCTTCATGTTTTGCAAGGGGTATTAAGCAGCGTGTTTGGGACCAGAGCAACTTTTCGTTTAACCAAGAAACTTGCATTTTGCTTGTCTGGATTATCTTGCAGTTCTTGTGTTTATGGTCTCAGGATTCAGTCATGTTCTCATGGGATTTTGCTTTGCTGGTGCCTTTTTGGGTCATGCTTCAAAGTGTTATTTTGTACTGATCTTTTAGAGCATCACTTTTGCTTTTAAGAACTTTTTATCTTTGTGAACCTGAATCCCATCATCCTCATCAGAGGCACTCTGGGGTTCCAGCTGAGTCACAACAAGACTCCCTCCTGGGCACACAGAAGACTGTGCAACTTGGAAGGCGTTGAACAGACCTTGCCCTGACACCACGAGATTCAGAGCAAACCTTAAGAAATGGGGCCACCAAGTGGAGTCCATGACATGCAAGTGTGGAGAGGAGCAAACCACAGACCACCTATTACAATGCTGTTTGAGCATAAACTTCTCACAGCCACACCAGAGGCACTCCAAGTGGCCAGCTTCTGTTCAAAGGACATTTTGTCCTGATCTGTAGTTTTCTAGAGAAGAAATTACTTCACAGACTGACTGGAAAGGCTTTATTCCTCAAAGCATACAGTATGGTTACAAACAAAGTTCCATCTGACAGTTGGTTTCAGTCTCACCTCATATCACAGATCTCCTACGACAATGCAACCTCAGCCTCGCCACATGCACAATGAAGGACCTCCTTATAGCAACACCAGAGGCACTCCAAGTGGCCAGCTTCTCTTCAAAGGATATTTTGTCCTGATCTGTAGTTTTCTAGAGAAGAAATTACTTCACAGACTGACTGGAAAGGCTTTATTCCTCAAAGCATACAGTATGGTTACAAACAAAGTTCCATCTGACAGTTGGTTTCCCTCTCACCTCATATCACAGATCACCTACGACAATGCAACCTGAGCCCTGCAACATGCACAATGGAGGACCTCCTTATAGCAACACCAGAGGCACTCCAAGTGGCCAGTTTCTGTTCAAAGGACATTTTGTCCTGATCTGTAGTTTTCTAGAGAAGAAATTACCTCAGAGACTGACTGGAAGGGCTTTATTTCTCAAAGCATACAGTATGGTTACAAACAAAGTTCCATCTGACAGTTGGTTTCCCTCTCACCTTATATCACAGATCACCTATGACAATGCAACCGGAGTCCTGCCACATGCACAATGGAGGACTTCCTTATAGCAACACCAGAGGCACTCCAAGTGGCCAGCTTCTGTTCAAAGGACATTTTGTCCTGATCTGTAGTTTTATAGAGAAGAAATTACCTCACAGACTGACTGGAAGAGCTTTATTTCTCAAAACATACAGAATGGTTACAAACAAAGTTCCATCTGACAGTTGGTTTCCCTCCTTATAGCAACACCAGAGGTACTACAAGTGGCCAGCTACTGGTCAAAGGACATTTAGTATAATGCCAAGTTTTAAAATGTTGTGTTTTTTAAATACATTACAACTTTACCCTTATGATACGATAAATAAATAAAAGGAACCTGAAACATATCCCAACAGATACAATCTCATGTTCCACATCAAGGTGGATGGGCAGGTCCTTGGATTATAGAAAACGTATACAATTGTATTATAAATTCTGCTTAGAAAATCTATGATGTTTTTGTTTTTGTCCCACCCGCCCAGCAAAGAAACAAATAATACAGAACACAACACAAACGCCTAGAGGGCAGGACATCTCCGTTTGGAAAATCTGAATCTCTGTTTCTCTATAAAGTAAATAATGGAAACTGTTCCTCGGTCCGCTTCGTGCCGAAGGATGCCAGGCGAGGCTGACGTGTTCGGCTTCTGAAGCTTTTAATTGCATTTGATCCTCCCCAAAATCACCACCCGAAAACCTCCTTTTCCAATACTTGCTTCAGATTCTTTCCAAAAATGTGGATGGAAGACGCCTTCTATGGAGGCTTTGAAACAGAGGCTGGATGGCCATCTGTTGGGGGTGCTTTGAAGGCGATTTTCCTGCTTCTTGGCAGAATGGGGTTGGACTGGATGGCCCAAGAGGTCTCTTCTAACTCTAGGATGCTATGATTCTGTGTTCAGCAGTGGAACTCCCTGCCCTGGAGTGAGGCGGAGGCTCCTTCTTTGGAAGCGTTGTAGCATAGGCTGGATGGCCATTTGTTGGGGGTGCTGTGAACGCAATTTTCCTGCTTCTTGGCAGAATGGGGTTGGACTGGATGGCCCACCAGGTCTCTTCCAACTCTAGGATTTTATGATTATATGTTCAGCAGTGGAACTCTCTGCCCTGGAGTGTGGTGGAAGTTCCTTCTATGGAGGATTTGAAACAGAGGCTGGATGGCCATCTGTTGGGGGTGCTTTGAACACGATTTTCCTGCTTCTTGGCAGAATGGGGTTGGACTGGATGACCCAACAGGTCTCTTCCAACGCTAAGATTCTATGATTCTGTGTTCAGCAGTGGAACTCTCTGCCCTGGAGGGTGGTTGAGGCTCCTTCTTTGGAGGCTTTGAAGCACAGGCTTTGAAGGAGATTTTCCTGCTTCTTGGCAGAATAGGGTTGGACTGGATGGCCCACCCGGTCTCTTCCAACTCTAGGATTCTAAGATGCTACACCATGCCAGAAAAGAAGCAGTGCCAGAAAGTTTGGAAATGACACCTCAGGATCTTCTTGGCAGTTATGAGTCAAGAAGAAAAATCCACTGAGGCAATGCATGCATCCATTGACCCAACAGATCCTGGGTCCTCTCTAGGAATTTCCTAGGTCCTTGAGGGTGACTCTATGGTTGAAACATGCCATAGAATTGTCTGGAGGACCGAGGTAATTTCCTAGAGGAGGGGAGGTGAAACCACATATACAAATGTATCGGTACATTTGGTCGTCACATTGGCAATAATAAAAATTGAGGTTGACAAAAGAAGATTTCAAGCTCGCTCTACAGCAGTGTCTCTCTCCGTGGGGTCACGAAGGGTGCCAGAAGGGTCGCCAAAGACCATCAGAATATACAGTATTTTCTATTAGTGATGGGGGATCTGTGTAGGAAGTTTGGCCCAATTTCTATAATTGGTGGTGTTCAGAATGCTCTTTGATTGTAGGTGAACTATAAATCCCAGCAACTACAACTCCCAAATGTCAAGGTCTATTTTCCCCAAACCCCACCAGTGTTCACATTTGGGCATATTGAGTATTCATGCCACGTTTGGTCCAGATCCATCATTGTTTGAGTCCACAGTGATCTCTGGATGTAGGTGAACTACAACTCCCAAACTCAACGTCAATGCCCACCAAACCCTTCCAGTATTTTCTGTCGGTCATGGGAGTTCTGTGTGCCAAGTTTGGTTCAATTCCATTGTTGGTGGAGGTCATGGAAAGTTTGGCTCAATTCCATCATTGGTGGAGTTCAGAATGCTCTTTGATTGTAGGTGAACTGTGAATCCCAGTGATTACAATTCTCAAATGTCAAGGTCTATTTTCCCCAAACTCCACCAGTGTTCACATTTGGGCATATTGAGTATCCATGCCAAGTTTGGTCCAGATCCATCATTGTTTGAGTCCACGGTGCTCTCTGGGTGTAGGTGAACTACAATTCCTAAGCTCAAGGTCAATGCCCACAAAACCCTTCTAGTGTTTTCTCTTGGTCATGGGAGTTCTGTGTTCCAAGCTTGGTTGAATTCCATCTTTGGAGTTCAGTATGCTCTTTGATTGTAGGTGAACTATAAATCCCAGCAACTACAACTCCCAAATGACAAAATCAAACCCCACCAGTATACAAATTTGAGCATATCGGGTATTTGTGCCAAATTTAGTCCAGTGAATGAAAATACATCCTGCATATTGGATATTTACGTTACAATTCACAACAGTTGTGAAGTCGCAATGAAAATAATGTTATGGTTGGGGGTCACCAAAACGTGAGGAACTGTATTAAGGGGTCGCGGCATTTGAAAGGTTGAGAAACACTTTTCCTTTCTTCTTTCCAGCATGAAGGAAATGCTCATGACGCAGGCGGACCGGTTCACCGATGAGGAGGTATGCATACGTTTCGGCATGCGCAAGTTTCCATTTTGATTTTCTTTCGACAACGGTGACGACCATTAGTAAACGGGCTGCGAGAAAGCAAAATTCCAGGCTGTGGCTCCCTTGGCTGGCCCGATCTGTGTTTCATGCAGCCAGCATTATGGTCTTCCCTTTTGAGACCTTTCATTTCATGATATGTCCAAAGCACGATAGCCTCAGTTTTAGTCCTTTTGGTTTCTAGCATGGTTTGCTCTTGGACTGATTCAGTCGTCTTTGTGCCATAGCTGTCTTCCAATCTCACATCCCAGTGGCATCCCTTGTGCCATCAGGACTGCTGACCAAAAAGTTGGTGGTTCAAATCCAGGGAATGGGGTGAGCTCCTGTATGTCAGCTCCAGCTCCCCATTTGGGGACATGAGAGACATCTTCCACAAGGATGGTCAAACATCAAAACATCCAAGCAACAGTTATTTATTTATTTACGGTATTTATATTCCGCCCTTCTCAGCCTGCAGGGGACTCAGGGTGGATTACGATGCACATATACATGGCAAACATTCAATGCCATAGACACACAACATATATGGACAAACACAGAGGCAATTTAACATTCCAGCTTCATGAGGGTATGCTCGAATTCTGGCCACCGGGAGAGCTGTCACTTCACCCTCCACGTGTGACACCGAGCCCTTGATGAAGTACTTCCTCATTCCTTTGCACGCTGCTGGAGATTTTTATGGCATCGTAAATTAGTTAAATTAGCCTCCCCGCATAAGTGGTAACTAAATTTCCAGCTTCATGAGGGTATGCTCGAATTCTGGCCTCCGGGGGAGCTGTCACTTCACCATCCACTTGTGACATCAAGTCTTTGATGAAGTACTTCCTCATTCTTTTGCATGCTGCTGGAGATTTTTATGGCATCATAAATTAGTTAAATTAGTCTCCCCACTTAAAGCAAGACCTAAATTTCCAGCTTCATGAGGGTATGCTCGAATTCCGGCCACGGTGGGAGCTGTCACTTTACCGTCTACTTGTGACACTGAATCCTTGATGAAGTACTTCCTCATTCTTTTGCACGCTGCTGGAGATTTTTATGATGTTGTAAATTAGTTAGATAAGCGGTACCTAAATTTCCTACTTGACAAATGCAACTATCTTTCGGGCTGCAAGATAGACAAATGGTCGGGAGCTTACTCTGACCCGGGTTGGCTTCAAATTCATGATCAGTAGTGATTTTAATGCAGCTGACTCCAAGCCAACTGTGCCACAAACTGGTCCAACATCCCCTGGGAAACGCCCTTGCAGACAGCTAATTCTCTCACACCAGAAGCAGCTTGCAGTTTCTCAAATCGCTCCTGATAATGAAAAAAAATCTACCTATCTTCTCTCTCTCTCTTATTTTTTAGCTGTCTATCTACTCTCTCTCCCTCATATCTTACACTATGTAACAAAATACAGTAAAGTTTAATATTTACACAAATGATCAGCCATTGCCAGAAGAGAGAGTGTTTCATGTATGCTGATGATTGTGCCATCACTGCTCAGGCTGGTACATAAAAACCAGAAGTATTGTGGCATGAATGGTTCTCCTTTTGACATTCAGTAACACTATATTTAACACAATTTGAAAAATGTTCTGTTCCTGTCGAATTGTGAAGCCTTATTTTGAAAGTCATTATTATACTCCAGGCACTTGTCTTTTCCAGATCAAGCAGACGTTTAGCGCTTTCCCGCCGGATCCTTCCGGGAACCTTGACTACAAGAACCTTGTTTACGTCATCACCCATGGCGAGGAGAAGGACTAAGTGGGGCGGAGAGTCGCCATCCGGTGGCTTCCCTTCATGAGCCAAAGCCTGGAAAACGGTCCACATGAGATTAAAGCTGTTATACAACCTTCTTGGTTTTGTAGAAATTTTGAGTTCATTTCCTTGTGCACTTTCCATGCTCCAACCTCCCCGCTGTTGATCTTGTCAGTGATATATACATGAGCTGAACGGGATCTTTCAGGATCTGCTGACGCTCCTAACGTTCACCAGATGGTCCTCTGCCGATCATCCGGCTCCCATTTCTTTTCCCTTGCTCGGCAAGAGCCATCATCACGAAACAGGCAGGACGCCTATTAGCACATCTCCATCAGGGCTTCATGTGAGTCTCCCCAGGCCGGGCCACAGAATTGTAGAATTGTTGGAGGACAGGAAAAGAGATTGAAAGATGGGCTCAAAGCCAACCTTAAAAACTGTGGCATAGATCATCGAGTACTGGGAAGCCCTGGCCCTTGAGCCCTCTAATTGGAGGTCAGCTGTGACCAGCAGTGCTGCGGAATTCGATGAGGCTAGAATGGAAGACGTGCCAAGAGGACAACACTTTAAAGGCCTAATGCTTCGGAATCACAGATTCTAAGACCTTTCGTCTTCTCTGCCTAAACTCCCACTCCTATTTCCGTTGAGTGTGCTAACTGGAGGTCAGCTGTGACCAGCAGTGCTGGAGAATTCAAAGTGGCACGAATAGAGGGCAAAAGGGGGCTAAGTAAGTAGGCTCTGAAGATATGTCCCTGAAGCTTAAGCCAGAGACAAAACCCTGAATCCAACAAGTGCAAGTCTTCACACAAAGCAGACAACCAAGGGATTTGTGTCTTCTGCAGCGAGAGGGAGAGAAAACAAGTCTCCCCAAATGTCCAAGCACTCCAATTAAAAATGAAAACAGAGAGTTTTCTAGAGGGTTTTTTTTCCTGGTAATCAAAGCATTGGTCACATCTGGAACTGGTTGCCAAGTGTTTAAAAACAATCAAAGTGAATGGTATTAATAAATGCCAGGAGACATGAAGCAGGCCAAGGGGGAGCGAGCAAGCAAGGACAGGAGAGGTGGGGCTGCAGCCAGGGAGTGCGTCTCCTCTCTTTGGTGGCTCTCCATTCCTTCTCATCACTTTGTGGCCCCGTTTTTAAGGGGCGTTTCTTTGTAATCCCTCGTAAAAATGTTTGCATTTTGGGCAGAGACGGGCACACTCCCAGACGGATCCTCCCATGCATCTGAGTGCCCTCCGCCCCAAGAATCGGAATCATCATGTTGGAAGGAACCCCAAAGGCCATCCAGTCTTACCCCTTTCTGACATGGAAGGAGGCACAATCCAAGACAGATGGACATCCTTTGATGATGATAGAATCATAGAATCCAGGGTGAAGCATGAGGAAATAAACTGTCAGTTGGAACTTTGTTGCGTTCCCTAATGCATGCTTTTGAATTAAAGCCTTCCATAGAATCATAGAGCTGGAAGAGATCTTGTGGGCCATCCAATCCAATCCCATTCTGCCAAGAAGCAGGAAAATTGCATTCAAAGCACCCCCGACAGATGGCCATCCAGCCTCTGCTTCAAAACCTCCAAAGAAAGAGCCTCCATCACACTCCAGGGCAAAGAGTTCCACTGCTGAAAAGCTCTCATAGAATAGAATAATAGAATCCTAGCGTTGGAAGAGACCTCATGGGCCATCCAGTCCAACCCTTGCCAAAAAGAAGGAAAAATGCATTCAAGGCACCCCCGACAGATGGCCATCCAGCCTCTGCTGAAACGCCTCCAAAGAAGGAGCCTCCGCCATACTCTGGGACAGAGAGTTCCACTGCTGAACAGCTCTCATAGAATAGAATCATAGAATCCTAGCGCTGGAAGAGACCTCATGGACCATCCAGTCCAACCCTTGCCAAAACACAGGAAAAATGCATTCAAAGCACCCCTGACAGATGGCCATCCAGCCTCTGCTGAAAAGCCTCCAAAGAAGGCACCTCCACAACATTCCAGGGCAGAGAGTTCCAGTGATGAACAGCTCTCATAGAATAGAATAATAGAATCCTAGATTTGGAAGAGACCTCATGGGTCATCCAGTCCAACCCTTGCAAAAAAGCAGGAAAATGCATTCAAAGCACCCCTGACAGATGGCCATCCAGCCTCTGCTTCAAAGCCTCCAAAGAAGGAGCCTCCACCACACTCCGGGGCAGAGAGTTCCACTGCTGAACAGCTCTCCCAGTCAGGAAGTTCTTCCTTTTGTTCAGGTGGAATCTCCCTTCCCTTCCATGTCCATGATGGGCTATGAGACTGAGAATATCATTCCTTCAAATCCTGCTAAATTGCTGTTGGAATATCTCTGTCACCTTCTTCGTTGGCCATTTAGTGTCTTTATGTGATCCGACAAGTGATTCCTTGTGACCTTTTGGTGGCAGTCCCTCTGCGGGGAGTGACCTTTCGAGAAAAGTGTGTTTGGTGTGCATAGAATGAGCTTCCCTGTCCCGCAGGTTCTGGCTGAACTTCCCACAGATACAAGCAAAGGCCAAAATCCAAATGTCCGGTTCCAGCAAAAGAAGCCACCAGCCCCAAATAACCTCATGTAACAAGATCGGAAAAAGGTTCTGTTCCTGATTCGAAAGTGTTATTCCTATTGAACCAAACGTGGCACACAGGACTCCCATGACCAACAGAAAATACTAGATGGGTTTGGTGGGGATTGACCTTGAGTTTGGGAGTTGTAGTTCAATGATGGATCTGGACCAAACTTGACACAAATCCTCAATTTGCCCAAATGTGAATACTGGTGGAGTTTGGGGGAAATAGACCTTGACATTTGGGAGTTGTAGTTGCTGGGATTTATAGTTCACCTACAATCACAGAGCATTCTGAACCTCACCAACGATAGAATTGGGCCAAACCTCCCACACAGAATGCCTATGTGGGCCACAGCAATGCGTGGCAGGGGGTGGCTAGTAATCTATATAAATAAAAAGGTAATGTTCGTTTGTGGGATTAACAGAACTCAAAAACCACTGGGGGAATTGACACCAAATTTGGACACAAGACACCTAACAACTCAATGTATGTCCTTCACTCATAAAAACACTGAAAAACACAGCAGAAGGGACTTAAAAAGCCCCAAAAAGCTAAATGACGAAAAGCTAAATGACAATACAGAAAAAAAGGAAGAAAGAGGTAGGGAAGGGGAGAAAAAGAAAGAAAGACAGAAAGAAAAGAAAAAGGGAGGGAGAGAAAGAAAGAAGGAAAGGGAGAAGGAAGCATGGAAGCAAAGAGAGAAGGAAGGAAAGTTAGAGAAGGAAGGAAGGAGTGAAGGAAAGAAAAAGGGGAAAGAAGGAAGGAAAGAGGGAGCGAAGGAAGGGGGGAAGATGTAGAGGAAGAGGAAGGAAGGAAAGAAGGAAAGGGAGAAGGAATCATGGAAGCAAAGAGAGAAGGAAGGAAAGAGGTAGAGAAGGAAGAAAGGAGAGAAAGAGGGAAGGAAAGAAAAAGAGGGAAGGAAGGAAAGTTAGAGAAGGAAGGAAGGAGAGAAGGAAAGAAAAAAGGGAAAGAAGGAAGGAAAGAGGGAGCGAAGGAAGGGGGGAAGATGTAGAGGAAGAGGAAGGAAGGAAAGAAGGAAAGGGAGAAGGAATCATGGAAGCAAAGAGAGAAGGAAGGAAAGAGGTAGAGAAGGAAGAAAGGAGAGAAAGAGGGAAGGAAAGAAAAAGAGGGAAGGAAGGAAAGTTAGAGAAGGAAGGAAGGAGAGAAGGAAAGAAAAAAGGGAAAGAAGGAAGGAAAGAGGGAGCGAAGGAAGGGGGGAAGATGTAGAGAAAGAGGAGGGAAGGAAAGAAGGGAAGGGAGAAGGAATCATGGAAGCAAAGAGAGAAGGAAGGAAAGAGGCAGAGAAGGAAGAAAGGAGAGAAAGAGGGAAGGAAAGAAAAAGAGGGAAGGAAGGAAAGTTAGAGAAGGAAGGAAGGAGAGAAGGAAAGAAAAAGGGAAAGAAGGAAGGAAAGAGGGAGCGAAGGAAGGGGGGAAGATGTAGAGAAAGAGGAGGGAAGGAAAGAAGGAAAGGGAGAAGGAATCATGGAAGCAAAGAGAGAAGGAAGGAAAGAGGTAGAGAAGGAAGAAAGGAGAGAAAGAGGGAAGGAAAGAAAAAGGGGAAGGAAGGAAAGTTAGAGGAAGGAAGGAAGGCGAGAGGAAAGAAAAAAGGGAAAGAAGGAAGGAAAGAGGGAGCGAAGGAAGGGGGAAGATGTAGAGAAAGAGGGAGGGAAGGAAAGAAGGAAAGGGAGAAGGAAGCATGGAAGCAAAGAGAGAAGGAAGGAAGGAAAGAGGCAGAGAAGGAAGGAAGGAAGGAGAGAGAGAAGGAAAGAAGGAAAGAAGGAAAGAAGGAAAGGAAGAAGGAAGAATGGAAGCAAAGAGAGAAGGAAGGAAAGAGGTAGAGAAGGAAGAAAGGAGAGAAAGAGGGAAGGAAAGAAAAAGAGGGAAGGAAGGAAAGTTAGAGAAGGAAGGAAGGAGAGAAGGAAAGAAAGGGAAAGAAGGAAGGAAAGAGGGAGCGAAGGAAGGGGGGAAGATGTAGAGAAAGAGGAGGGAAGGAAAGAAGGAAAGGGAGAAGGAATCATGGAAGCAAAGAGAGAAGGAAGGAAAGAGGTAGAGAAGGAAGAAAGGAGAGAAAGAGGGAAGGAAAGAAAAAGAGGGAAGGAAGGAAAGTTAGAGAAGGAAGGAAGGAGAGAAGGAAAGAAAGGGAAAGAAGGAAGGAAAGAGGGAGCGAAGGAAGGGGGGAAGATGTAGAGAAAGAGGAGGGAAGGAAAGAAGGAAAGGGAGAAGGAATCATGGAAGCAAAGAGAGAAGGAAGGAAAGAGGTAGAGAAGGAAGAAAGGAGAGAAAGAGGGAAGGAAAGAAAAAGAGGGAAGGAAGGAAAGTTAGAGAAGGAAGGAAGGAGAGAAGGAAAGAAAAAAGGGAAAGAAGGAAGGAAAGAGGGAGCGAAGGAAGGGGGGAAGATGTAGAGAAAGAGGAGGGAAGGAAAGAAGGGAAGGGAGAAGGAATCATGGAAGCAAAGAGAGAAGGAAGGAAAGAGGTAGAGAAGGAAGAAAGGAGAGAAAGAGGGAAGGAAAGAAAAAGAGGGAAGGAAG